CACATTTCACCCCTCTCTCACCCTCGCCGCCTCGCAACTGCCGTCAATCATGTCAGGCATCTTGAGGCAGACCATCAACCTTGGTCGCCTGTACAGGCCGACTTACCAGATTTCGACCCGCGGTCGCTCGCTATCATTAAGACCCGCTTCTATCCCGCGACCAACATATGCATACCAGCGCGTCCGCCGCTACGCCACTCAACCCGAAGAGCCTCGCGACAAAGATGAGGTCAAGGACAAGACTCCTGGTCAATCCGCTCCTGGCATGGAGCACCTCTACAACAAGGGCGGCCCTCTCACGAACGAGAAGGCTGCTTCATCTTCAGCAGACTCCCTNCGCCCCGGCTTCGCGAAGCTTACTCCCGAAGAAGAGAAGGAGCTCACCGAGGTCTTTGGTCAGATCAAGAAGGGCATGCCCGCCTCCATGGCAGAAGAGGTGGAAAAGACTTTCCAAAGGATTCGCACCGAAGGAATCCCCCAAGAGCTTCGCGATACCATGGACGAGCTCAAGCAGGGCCACATGACCCCTGCCGTCGCCGCCCGCCTGTGGCGTCAAGTCTCCTCCATGGCCAGAAAGACTGCCGAGAGCGATATCAAGAGCGAGGCCAAGGGCGCTCAGCAAAAGTCTGGCGCTCACGATCCCGGTGCCGGTTCCAAGTCAAAGTCGAACAACAAGGGCGAAGACAAGGATGGTCCAGCCTACCACATCAAGGACATCAAGCTGGATATGAACAGCATCATTCTTTCCGCCTTCACCTCATACCTCATCTACCGCCTGGTCGTGCCAAGCGAGAACTCCCGCGAGATTACATGGCAAGAGCTGAGAAACACCTTCCTTGACAAGGGTCTTGTCGAGAGACTTGTCGTCGTCAACAACAACAAGGTCAGAGTGCACGTTCACCAGCAGTCTGTCCAGGCCATGTACCCTGAGAGCCCTGCTGCTCACGGCAACTTCTACTACTACTTCTCCATCGGCTCTGTTGAGGCCTTTGAGCGCAGACTCGACGACGCACAAGCTGAGCTTGGCATCCCATCATCCGAGAGAATCCCTGTTCAGTACAGTCGCGAGGTGTCTTGGGCTGACACGATATTGAGCTTCGGTCCTACCCTGCTGTTCATCGGTGCCATCTTCTGGCTTTCAAGAAGAGCCGCATCTGGAGCCGGCGGTGGTGGCAGTGGCGGGATTTTCGGTATGGGCAAGAGTCGCGCCAAGAAGTTCAACCACGAGACCGACGTCAAGGTCAAGTTCGCCGATGTCGCCGGTATGGACGAGGCCAAGGTCGAGATCATGGAGTTCGTCAACTTCTTGAAGCAACCCGAGCGCTTCCAGAAGCTTGGTGCAAAGATTCCCAGAGGTGCCATCCTCTCTGGTCCTCCTGGTACTGGTAAGACACTGCTCGCCAAGGCAACCGCTGGTGAGTCTGGTGTACCTTTCTTCAGCGTCAGTGGTTCCGAGTTCGTCGAGATGTTCGTTGGCGTTGGTGCTTCGCGAGTGCGCGATCTGTTCCAGAATGCCAGAAAGAGCACGCCCTGCATCATCTTCATTGATGAGATTGATGCCATTGGAAAGTCAAGATCAAAGCAAAACTTCGGCGGTGGTAACGACGAGAGAGAGGCTACACTCAACCAGATCCTCACTGAGATGGATGGTTTCGCCAGCACTGAACAGGTAAGCTTCTATTGCTCTATAAGGCAACATACAACGATCTAATGTGTCTTCNNACAGGTAATTGTCCTTGCTGGTACCAACCGCGCAGATGTCTTGGATCAGGCCCTCATGCGTCCTGGCCGTTTCGACAGACACATCTCAATCGACAAGCCTACTATGGACGGACGCAAGCAAATCTTTGCTGTCCACTTGAAGAATATCGTGACAAAGGAAGACATTGAATACCTCAAGGGTCGCCTGGCAGCACTTACCCCTGGTTTCTCCGGAGCAGATATTGCCAACTGTGTCAACGAAGCCGCTCTGATCGCTGCCCGTGGTGGCGCTGACACTGTCAAGATGATTCACTTCGAACAGGCTATCGAGCGTGTCATTGGTGGTCTCGAGAAGAAGTCGTTGGTGCTTTCACCCGAGGAGAAGCGCACAGTTGCATACCACGAGGCTGGCCATGCCATCTGTGGATGGTACTTCAAGTACGCGGATCCTCTCTTGAAGGTCTCTATCATTCCCCGTGGTCAGGGCGCCCTCGGATACGCACAATACCTTCCCTCTGGAGACACCTACCTCATGTCATACCTGCAGCTGCTTGATCGTATGGCCATGACTCTTGCTGGTCGTGTCTCTGAGGAGATTCATTTCGAGACTGTCACATCTGGAGCATCAGACGACTTCAACAAGGTCACTCGCATGGCCACCGCCATGGTCACTAAGTGGGGTATGTCGCCCAAGGTCGGTTACCTCTATTTCGAGGACGACCCGAACCAGCTCCAGAAGCCCTTCTCAGAGGAGACCGCCCGCAACATTGACACCGAGGTGAAGCGCATCGTCGACGAGGCATACAAGCAATGTCGCGACCTGCTCGAGGAGAAGAAGAAGGAGATTGGCATCGTCGCCGAGGAGCTGCTCCGCAAGGAAGTCTTGACTCGCGACGACCTCGTCAGATTGCTTGGCCAAAGACCCTTCGAGGACAAGGGCGACTTTAGCAAGTACTTTGGCGGCCGCGGCGACCGTGAAGGTCCTGGCTCAGGAATCCCTGGCATCCCCGAGAAGCCCGATGGACCCATGCTCCCTCCCGGATCATCCAACCCTGCACCTGTGGTTTTCAAGGATTTGAACCAATGAACTTCAAATGTCATGTATAGAAATCTCCGAAACGAATAATGGAGTTTTTGGGGTGTGGGCATTGGGGGTCTTTTTGTGCTTTTCTTCCTGGCATCTCGTCTTTTTATATTGCGCATAGCGGATTCCCTTTCTTTTGTATTATTACTTTTCTCTCCCATCAATCTCCGTGTACAAAATTTCTCTTTTCGTCAAGAATGTACTGTATGTGGCGCACTGGAGGCGTCTTCGATGCTGTCAGGATCACATCAGCCGGTAAATAGTTTGTCCCTCCACTCTTTACAACACATCATCATTTCTTTCTCGTTCTCCACCCGCCGTGACATCCATCATGATGTGATGAGGGGTTGTTGTCGATCGAGACTAACTCTTGCATAGAAGTACGCGGATGCCAGGGCCGTACTTCCGCAACCTCATCGTTCTTCGGACCGAGGAAAGACAAAGCTCTTGGTTTGCAGTGCCCAGCTGTGGGCCATGTTGACACGGTGGAGCAGGCAGCGGCAGGGTGGTTTTTGATGAGGTAGGTGGTTCATATTAGCAAAGGGTTGTGGCGCGGTCAAAGTCTTTGGTTTTAGCCGCAGAGTGGAGGAGCCGCGCTTTCTCTGCACTTCTGGGAGGAAAAGTTGCGGACAAGGATTGCTGGCTCTGAATGAAACATGCAGAGAGTTCGTGGAGATGATAGGGACGAATGATGGCTTTATATTTTTTTTTTCACTTTGGTTTGTGTATCCGATGGACTATCACTACAGCAACTTTGATCGTGCTACTCTTTGTTGGTGCTGCTGCTGCTCACTATAGCCGCTTAATCTCGCATCTGCAAGACCCCGAGTGCAATTCCTCTCGGCCGAGATAGATTGCTTTGTGGTGTAGTCGCGTCTTGGACAAAATTTCCCTCTACCGCACCACCCACCACCCCGCTTTCTGCATCTCTCTTGCCCCGCAGTCGTGCACAGAGGATCAGACAGGCGGTAGGAGTACACATTATCTCCGAAAGGACGGCGCGCCGTGTAGCGGCATCTGCTTTCCGTTCTTCGTCGCATGCAACGCAGAAACGTGACATGGTACGTACGAAAGATACAAGATGCATTTTCTGTCCTTGCCTCGATGCTTACACCATCCCTCTCGTGACCTGGTTTGCTGCAAGATCTTATGGAGTAGCTCGGCTTTGCTGCAGGCCCCTTGCTGTCATGAGGTGTCCTTGGTCATCAAACTTGCATATAACCGAGGTGGAAAGAGGCCTCCGTGGTGGTTGATCGACAATCATCTGAGCTTTCCCCACAATTTTGATGGCGTATCGTGGAAGTAGGGGTGTTGGTATAGACAGGTTGAGGATATGTAGGGGATGCAAGATATCGTTTTCATATATCACGATCGTCTAGCAAAACTCTTGGAGATGTCGCAAAGGTTGCAAGCTCAAACAATGCGAACCATTATATTCTGGAGTATCTATACCTGTTGTCCTTTCGAGATGGGCTGGAAGAATGCAAGGTGTGGAGCGGGCAACTGCCTTTTTGGGATGATGGCCGCTATGCAGAAAGACTCCACGTTCTATAACAGCTTCCAGCGAGATTTCATGAACATCTCCCCATGGGCAAGATCTGCAAACCTTGGAGCACTCTAACCAAGATTGACCCTCCGCGTGGCACCTTTCTTCCTTTCCATGAAACGCTGGTCGCTGCCTCTTGACTGGAAGGACAATTCTTTGGAGAGCCGTTGTTTTCCCCTTCCCCAAACCTTGATTCCTTCAAGATGGCGAAAATCACACCTTGCTGCGCTACTGTGAGTAGTGACGAGACAAACGCTACTGTGACGCACCCTCTCTGTTTGCTGTGCCGTGCCTGCATATATGATCAAATATATGCAGGCTGACACAGCTGGTCTGTCACGAAAAATAATCTACCCCGCGGGTCAGAGCTCCCCTCACCATGAACAGATCCCTGTATGGCATCATGAGGCCACTCGGGTTGCCGGTAGAAATGAAGCTGCAGATACAAAAAATGATTTAAATTGATCGCAGGACCGCATGCTTTTTGAGGTGACACCCTTGTGTTTTGCCCTCTTCTACGGGAAGTTGCAGCAGTGAAAGTCACAGCTTCGTGCTTCCCTCTTTCTCTGCAAACCGTATTTGCTTTCGTTTTCCTGAGCTTGAGACTTTTTCTTGCCCTTGTCGCTCTACACACACTCTGTCTGTTGATCTGGGATCTTCACGTGGAAGATGTCTGGTTTCAAGAGCCTGACCCTCTTGCTGGTGGCTCAGCTCGCCAATGCTCAAGGCGGCTACCCGAACCCTCCTGTTGCAGGCCTACCTGTAAGTATCGCTAGCGTCTCAAGTCACACGACAGCCGATTGACACCTGCGTAGNTTCCCTGGCACCGATTACCCTGGCGCCGCAGTGCCATATGCTGTCGCCGGCGCCAAATTCAACCAGACTTCTCCTCCCTACTACCCATCTCCTTGGGGAACTGGTGCTGGAGAGTGGGCAAGCGCTTATGAGAAAGCTATTGCATTTGTGTCTCAATTGACTCTTGCTGAGAAGGTCAACTTGACTACTGGTATGTTCTCACATTGTCAACTTCTTTGTTTGTGCTTTGCTAATCTTCTTCAGGTGTTGGGTCGGTCCTCGCGCGATCCGAACAAAGCAATTGAATGCTGACTAGCCTCTAGTTGGGAGTCCGAGAAGTGCGTCGGCAACACTGGATCAATTCCCCGTCTGGGCTTCAAGTCTCTTTGTCTCCAGGACTCGCCTTTGGGTGTCAGATTCGGTGAGCAATCGGTGACCACTTGAGCAGATCGTCCTGTATGCTGACATGAGCCAGGCGACTTCGTATCCGCCTTCTCCGCCGGCGTCACTGTTGCCGCGACATGGGATAGATCACTTGCATACACGCGCGGTAATGACATGGGTAGCGAGCACCGTGACAAGGGTGTCGATGTCATGCTTGGACCTGTTGTTGGTCCCCTTGGCCGCAGTCCCGAAGGTGGTCGCAACTGGGAGGGCTTCAGTCCTGACCCTGTTCTCTCTGGTATTCTGAACGCCGAGACGGTCAAGGGAATCCAGGATGCTGGTGTCATTGCTTGCACCAAGCACTACATCCTCAACGAGCAGGAGCACTTCAGACAAGGTGGTCCCAACATCTCTGATGCTGTGTCTGCCAATGTTGACGACATCACTCTGCATGAGCTGTATGTCTGGCCCTTCGCCGATGCTGTCCGCGCCGGTACTGGAAGTGTCATGTGCTCATACAACCAGGCCAACAACAGCTACGTCGTAAGTACAAAGAAGAATGATGTAAGCAGAGCAACACTAACCGCATCCAGNTGCCAAAACTCTCACCTCCTGAACAAAGTCCTCAAGGCTGAACTCGGGTTTCAAGGATTTGTTGTGTCAGACTGGTCGGGGCAGCACTCTGGTGTGTCGAGTGCTCTTGCGGGTCTCGACATGACCATGCCCGGAGATGTCGGCTTCGACAGCGGCACTTCCTTCTGGGGTGCCAACCTCACTGTTGCCGTTCTCAACGGAACCGTTCCTCAGTACAGACTCGACGACATGGCTGTCCGTATCGTGGCAGCCTGGTACCTCGTCGACAGAGAAGACCACCAAGTGGAGAATGCACCCAACTTCTCGTCATGGACCACCAGAACATTCGGATTCCGTCATTACATTGCTCAAGAGGGCTATGAACAGCTCAACTACCACGTCGACGTTCAAGACAACCACCGTGACAACATTCGCGAGGTTGCTGCCAAGGGTACTGTTTTGTTGAAGAACAATGGCGCATTACCTCTCAAGGGCACCGAACAACTCGTTGGTGTCTTTGGTGAGGACGCTGCTGACAACCAGTATGGACCTAATGGCTGCTCTGACCGTGGATGCGATAATGGCACCCTTGCTATGGGATGGGGTAGTGGAACTGCCAACTTCCCCTATCTAGTTGCTCCTCACACTGCCATCGAGAATGAAGTCCGCTCTCGAGGCAAGTCTGTTGAGAGTGTTCTCGATCGTGCCGCCTACAGCCAAATCGACACTCTCGCCCAACGTGCTGACGAAGTGAACGGTGCTTGTATCGGTATTTTCCCCCTCTTTTTATCGTCTATCTTCCCTCCATGTTTCACAACATCCTCATACACTCATGAGGCCCTGCTAACACAAGCACTTNNAGTCTTTGCCAACGCAGACGCTGGTGAGGGCTACATCATCGTCGACGGTAACCAAGGAGACCGCAACAACCTTACCCTCTGGCAGGGTGGTGAAGAGGTCATCCGCAACGTTTCGTCCCTGTGCAAGAACACCATTGTTGTGCTTCACACTGTCGGACCTGTCTTGATCAATGACTGGTAAGTCTTGGCTATTCTTCCAGCGAAATTCCGATCTGATCGTTACCTAGGNTACGACCACGAGAACATCACTGCCATCCTCTGGGCAGGTGTCCCCGGACAAGAGTCAGGCAACGCCATTGTCGACGTTCTGTATGGTAAGGTCAATCCATCCGGAAAGCTTCCCTTCACCATGGGCAAAACCCGTGAGTCGTATGGCACCGACCTTCTATACGAATACAACAACGGTGGCGCGGCCCCTCAGACTCAGTTCGAGGAGGGTGTCTTCATCGACTACAGAGCCTTTGACAGACAAGATGAAACTCCTGTCTACGAGTTCGGCTACGGTCTTTCGTACACCAACTTCAGCTACTCCGACATCTTGGTCTCGGTCAACACTTCGGCTCCCGCCTACGTCCCTGCCTCTGGGTTGACCAAGGCTGCTCCCATCTATGGCACTGTCTCGAACAACTCTGCCGACTATGTTTTCCCTGCCGATGTCAGACCCATCGAGTACTACATCTACCCCTATCTCAACTCCACCAACCTTCGCGCTTCGTCCCAAGACCTCCACTACGGTGGTAACTACAGCTTCCCTGCTGGCTCTTCTTCGAGTGTACCTCAGCCTCTTCTTCCCGCTTCTGGAGCTCCGGGTGGCAACCCCGGTCTCTACGACATTCTCTACACTGTCACTGCCACTGTCGCCAACACTGGCTCTGTCGAAGGTGAGGAAGTTCCTCAGCTTTACATCTCTCTCGGTGGTCCCGACGACCCTAAGGTCGTCCTTCGTCAGTTCGACAAGTTCTCGATCGCACCTGGTGCCTCGAAGACCTTCACTGCTCAGATCACCCGCAGAGATGTCAGCAATTGGAGCCCAGAGCTTGATGATTGGTATGTCAGCGAATATCCCAAGACCGTTTACGTTGGCTCTTCCAGCAGAAAGCTACCTCTCAAGGCCGCTCTGCCCGCCAACGGCGCCACCTCTCCCGGTACTGGNCAATGGTGGCTCTGGCTCCGGCAACGGTACTTATACCGTCCCTCCCGTCTCTGCCCCTGGTACTGCCTCCTTGACTTCTCACTCTACCTCTAAGTCATCGTCGCAGTTTTCGTCACAGTCTTCATCCAAGTCTTCTTCGCACTCGACCTCCAAGTCTTCGAGCCACTCGTCGAGCCATTCATACTCTTATTCTCACTCTAACACCAAGAGCGGACACAACTCGTGGACCACCTACACCCAGCCCACTGGCTACCACTCGACCTGGTAGAGTAATCTCGAGCACACGGAAATGTGAAAAAGCAGCATACATTCGTTTTGTTATTTGTTTCTAGCACATGATGACTTGATGAGCAAGAAGATGAATAGGGGCAGAAGACGATGGGGTTTGATGACAGCACTTTGTACATACAGTAGTGTGGAGACGATGAGATGACGAAGGAGAGAATATAACCATATTTCGCTTTGATCAGCCTCGTGTTCTTGCGTTGTTGAGATCCTGACTATTTACATCAAGCGTTGAGGTGCTACACACATCAGGTGCCCTCGCGTCGCGTCTGCCTGATATGACCTCTTGCCAAGACGTTCCAGGCAATCTTCCAGGAGTTGCATAACACTCGCTCTTCTTGAACTTGCTTAAACCACTTACTCCTCACGGCAGACTATCAAGACACTTTTGGCAACCAACGAGATCCCCAAAATCGTAATGACTCGGCGGGAACTCGAGCAAGAGCAAGACACCAGACAGCCGATTTATCAGCATGAAGAAGTACTGATTCCTCTCACGGTTGCACGACAACCAAGATTCGAATGCCGATGATGGATGAAAAGGCCATCTTTACAGCGTTGTTTGTTCTCCAAGACGACGTGCCGATCAACATAAGATCTGATCACGTCGCTTCCCTAGGGATGTATTGTTCTATTGACCAAACTCTCAGATGATCAACAGTCCCTGGAACAAGTGTAAAAAGACCTTAAAAACCCTGTGGCCACAGTTACTTAGAGAGATGGCGTAAAGAGGGAAAGCCGTTCCTGCGGGAGATCAAAGCACAACAATTTGCTTACAACCCAGACTTCCACAGAGACAAACTGCAAACCTGCTGTTCATGTTTGTAGTGCATAACAGGATGAAGTTCGAATGATTTTACCGATTCCATCGCACGTGATGTTTGTTGTTGCCAAGCTCCGATCACTTGGGCGTTTCTTCTCCACGACATTCCATGAAACCGTCACTCCCCTTTCACAAAGACAAGCCCGAAGAGAGGCTCAAGCCCGAAGCCGGACCTCTGTGGATCTGAGGAACGCATAAGGTGCGTCTCAGTATTCCGAAATACTACTCTAGGCTCTTGTAATGGCTTTCAATGCGTTCCTCAAGTATCTTCCCACGGGTTGGACGGAGGAGAAATATCAGCATGCAAGTGATAAAGACTTCGCAGACATCCCAGAAGACGTCAGTCAGACAATTCTCGATCTGCAAGGTTGGAACTGACGCCAATCAGGAATTCGAGAACGTACTACAGAGAATNNTTCAGCAGAAGCAAAAGTCCACCATATAGATTTCGTCCAGAAGTTGAATGCAGAGAGAGCAGCTCGAGGACTTCCTTCAAGACAACTAAACCTCTCAGACGACGCTGATGAGATGCACTTCTTGGTAAAGTTGGTCGAAGACGCTGGCTGGGACGATTTTGGCTTTCTAGTGTTTCGCACACACTTCGACGATGACAACCTCTGGAATCAGTTTCGCGATCTGTGGGATCCAATCTTGCAGCAGGGTATGGACGCAGCGCCTGCATCAGCTGGACTCGAACGCATACGAGAAAAACTATGCATGAAGATGGTCGACGATGATGCACTGAACGATAAATTTCCTAAAGATGTGGCATTCGCATATCGACTGTGCGAGGATGATGAAGATCTTGATGAAGACGAGATCTTGGAGCTAGGTCTTCGCACTCGCATGTGTCTGTTTGTCGACGAAGAATGCATGAGGTCGGTCACTGAACCAAAGTCAAATGTACCACCGTTTGTCAAGGCAGTAGATGTCTCACTTGGAGAAACCTTATCGCGGTCACAGAATGCCGTATTCAAAGTTGCGATCAAGTCTTTGGTCATGGACTTCTATCCATCTCTNGTCTTGCCAGGGATCGAAGACGTTACTAGATTGTATCCGAATAGCGAGAACGAGATTTGGACAGATCTGTCGCAGACCTTGCATGGAGAGGACGAGTGGAGAAAACTTAAGAAGATCATGGGGTACTAAAGGCAGGATCTTGTGCAGGATCTATGCCGACTGCAAGCAAAGATCTCGATATGGCATTTGTGAACAGTGCGGTAATGGTTCAATTGATTCAAGTCAATCGAACGAGAAGGGCCGACGCGATCAGTTTGTTAGAAAATTCGAAGCACAAGGGCGACCAGCGCTTGCATCACATGCAAATCTATTCAAAACGTCTGGCTAGAGGATACAATCAGGCACTACAAAGAGAGCTACTACTTCCCGAAATTTCCAGACCATTTTCAACAACCACTTCGAACATGGTATTTTGTCATGTTGATATGAAGTTTCATCAATGCCTTAGTGGATAGTGACCGAGGAAGAACCGCTGCTCTCGTAGCCCTCAGTGGCCATGATCTGGTAGTTGAAAGCACCAAGATTCTAAAAACACCATTAGTTCACGGTCTTGATCTTAGCCATCGAAGTTCACGTACCAANGCCAAGAGACTTCCAGGCGTTGATGTGGTTCTGGAAGGTGATGGTACCGCTGGTGCGCTTGCTCTGGCGAACAGAGAGGTACTGATGGAAGGTAGCAGTGCCCTGAATTGAGGGCGCGTTGGTCCGAGTGGTCTCGTAGATATCGTATACACCGCCATCAGTAGTGACCTGTATTTGACATTAGCGATGGGCATGGGGGATCGGTATGAAAGATCTTACAGTGCCGAGATGAGTTCCTGCACTGCCAGGATTGTAAGTACCATAAGTCTCAATGACATAGTACTCGACAAGGGGTCCAGTCGTCCAACCGTAGAGGGCAATCAAACTGTCGCCGCCGGCATTGATGGATCCAGAGTAGCTGATGGTGCTACAAGACACTTTATTCAGCAAAGGTCCCCAACTGCGAAGACTTTCTGCTTACCGGGCCGCACCAGTCTGCCAACCGATACCAGCAACAACATCAGTATTGGCGCTGGTCCATTGCAGGTTGTACGTGCCAGTGCCGATGGTGAAAGTGTCGGCGCCAGTCTCGACATAGTTGGAAAAGTAGTAACCGCCATAGTTGCCAGTCTGGTTGTCGGTGATGGTCTCGCTACGTTTCTTGATGATGCTGACGGGAGCAGCTAGTGCGAGAGCGGCGCACGCAGAAGCAAGGAAGACGGTTCTGAATGAAGGCATAGCGAAGAAAGATAATATATATCCGTGTAGTGTTGATCTTTGAGGATGGTGATCATGCGATTCTTATACTTGAACAATCCGACATGGAAGAATTGTGTGCATCTTTCCCAATCGTCCTCGTCTCTCGCAGATGCATGATTTGGCTAAATTGCAACATCCGTGGATGATCTGAGGCTCCGTCAAAAGGTCTGCTCGTGCGGGTTCACAAGCCGTGCCAGCTTGAGCACGTCAACAATTGCGGCCAGGCACATTAGGGCAAAGAGTGTAAGCGTAATTCAAGCCCCAGATCATGTAGTCAAAAAGAAACAAGCTTTGTCAAATGTTCCGTGCTTGGGCTTGCAGGCTAAAGACGTGAGGAGCAGTTTAAACAAGCTTCGTTGGAGAGTGTCGATCATGCGGAGTCACGTCTCGAGAAACCACGGGGTCTTCCCACTTCCGCGTGTCCGCATAGAACCATGCCACCCTGGAGCTCTGACAGATCGTAATCGTATAACTTTCCAGTCGAATGCTGATTGTGTCAAGACCTCGAATGAGATATCCGCAAATGCACCAACTGGGTTCTTTCAAGCTGATGAACGGATTGAAGTGACATACCTCAGTCCCACAAGTCCACGTTCCTTGTACCGGCAATCTGGGGATCTGATACCCACGTAAATATGGTAAGACAGTACAGGGTAGTGAACTCATGACTAGATTCAGTGCAAGGTCCTCAAAGAGACAAATCTCTCTCGAAATCGAATTCCTTCCAGTCCCGCAAACATACTCCAATGTTTGCCATCTGTTTTTCCACATCTTCCTTGATCTGCACATATGATTTCCCAGTCACTATATTGTCGTACGTGGAATGAGTCCCTTGCAGCAGCTTGATGTTCGAAGCCTCGAAACCAGATGCAATGGCTCCAAGGATCGAAGCTCGTACGCAGAAATCAGTCTGCAGTCCGACAAAGACAAGGTTCGTGATGCCTTGCATGCGAAGCGAGTTCGCTAGATTGGGGTTTGAAATGAACATATCGCCTGGATGAGATTTTAGTAGCATCCATGCCAGTCTTTAGCTGCCTTGTCTTACCAACGTTTTTGGAAATCAGCCTTTCGGTTTCGATACCCTGTCGGGGTGGGAAAACAAGTTCCCAAGTCGGTTTTCCTCGATGTAAAGGATCGCTCGGGTCGTTGTCGTCGTGCTGAACAAAGAGAATCTCAATCTTGTGTTTTGGATCTTCGTTGAGAGGACCATGTTTGTTGTGCTGGCGGGCAAGATGCAGAACAGAGTTGATGGCTTGCTTTACTCGATCAGCATCAGGAACGCCGTCGTTGACATTTGCGATGCCATCTTGTACGTCCACAATGACAAGTGCCGTCCTGTTGTCCATGATGGGATGAGTGGTAGCGAACAAGGTGCGCGGAGTGTCTCATGAAGAAACTTGATATATCTCTAGCCTCTTCGGATGAGTCATTGTCTAATCAGTATTTTCTTGGCACTAGCAAAGATGGCCAACAGTATGGATCTCAGTGGAAGGTCCGGCCAGTTTTACATATCATATCCGCTTGTTATGTCATATGGCTTGCTCCGCTACTTGTTTATAGCAAGGACGACACAGGAGTCAGAGTCAAGACATTTGATCAGATATCCAGAGTTTCAGTCATGCAGTCTGGCGCCAGACCGTATGCGACAATCCTCTTACGAAGTCTCTGCTGCCAAAGTCAGCCCTCGGCAAGTTGTCTCGTGCTAAGCTCAGAGCAGCCTTTGAGGATGGGAATTACTGGTCGTACCAGCACGAAGACGAGAAAATCGTCAAAGCCTATCGTGATGCTCGTCTTGAACGACCGTCCGATGAAGTGGAGGATAGCATCTTGACTTGTTTTGTCGATCTGTTCGAAGTGCCTCGCGAGGAGGTCGAACTTCATACGAGTCTGTTCGAATGGGGCGTGAACTCCATCCAGATCATAAGGCTCAAGACCATTGTTCAACACAAACGTGAGCTCAAGCAAGAGATTCCAGTCATCACCGTCATGAACAGTCCGACGATCAAGGGCCTTGCTGCTGCTGTAAGAGACCTGCAAAAGCCTCACGAGTATAACCCGATAGTCACTCTCCAGTCAGGAGGCTCCAAGACACCCATATTTCTGGTTCATTCCGGTGTTGGCGAAGTACTGGTTTTCCTCAATTTGGCAAAGTACATCGTCGATCGGCCTGTGCATGCTATCAGAGCCCGAGGCTTCGATGGAGAGCCGTTCTTCCATGATCTTCCTGAGGTCATTGGCATATACTACAATGCGACCAAAGAAGACCCAGCCAGAAGGTCCTTACGCAGTGGCCGGTTACTCGTATGGCGCAATGATCGCCTTTGAGCTTGCTAAGCGGCTAGAAGCCAGCGGAGACAAGATCGGATTCCTTGGATCATTTAATCTTCCTCCACACATCAAGTTCAGGATGAAACAGCTGGACACGATCGAAGTTTTACTGAATCTTTCTTACTTCCTTGATCTTATCACGGACGAGTATGCTCAGGAGATCTCTCCAGCCATGCATAAACTGTCAGATGAGGAGGCGCTTGACCACATCATGGGCAAGGCACCTCCGGGCCGCATGGAAGAGATGGCTCTGGACCGAACGAAATTTCAGCGATGGGTTCAACTGGCTCATGTCATGCCAGCCATTGCTCGGGACTACGATCCTTCCGGCACAGTTGCTAATATGGATGTGTTCTATGCTATACCACTGTCGATGGTTTCCAAGGACAAGGCCGATTGGAGAAAGAATCATCTGAGCAAGTGGCAAGACTCTGTGCGTGAGAAGGTCGTATTCACAGAAGTCGATGGTGCCCACTATACTATGGTAAGTGTTGATATCAGCATACAACAGTCCAGCGACTGACAGCTCGATTAGATGAGTCCTACTCATGTACTGTCGTTTAGCAAAAGACTTCGCCAAGCACTTGCAAACAGAGGTGTCTGAATACTTGATGCCCACTCGATATCCTGGGAGGGTCTTAAGGCTATGAGGAGATATGACAGTCAGCTTCCATGAGTATTGAAATATCTGAATAGAAATCGGGAGCGCACTTGCAGGAGTCTGTTGGGTTGCAAGGCCTTTCTTGCTTAGCTAGACTTTATGCGTCTTTGAGGGAGTTCCATTACGCGAGCGCCTTTGATCTTACAGTATATTAGTGAGACCAGATATTGCAGCAATAATCTTATCGTTTGTTTTCTTGTGAACGTAACGCGTCTTGATTGTCATGCTGCATCAATGGCAAGCTTCCCATAGCCATCTGCAAAGTGGGGTTCCTCCATGTTCGTGTGGGAAACAGTCAAATGACCGAGGGTTGTATTAGTGATGACTAAGCAACTTAGCGCCGGACTGTGGCACGTTATTTATGGAAAGAAGACACGTCAAGGCACCCACAGTTATTTGCAAGGAACCACATCCTCCATAAGATAATCATATCCCAGTGCTCAAAAATGGCAGAAGAATCCATCAACATCGACAGTATACTCGCTGCCGTACCCCACCTGAGCCGTGGACCCGGTGGTGTCGTTGCCGTGGTCAAAGATGGTGCATTGCTCGGCCATCGCGCTTGGGGATATGCTGACCTCGACCGTCGCATCCCAATGACGACCGAGACGCAATTTCCCATCTGCTCAATCTCAAAGCAAATGGTTTGCTTAGCCATGGAGTCGCTGTTACGTGATCCTACGCCTATGATGGCCGAGCGCAATTGCGATGCTGCCAAACAATTTGAAGATGAACTTCAGAAGTTGCTGCCTAATCTCAAGTGTGGTGGTGAAGACGGCGTCAAAGTCGCCGATCTGTACAATATGCAGTCGGGCATACGCGACTATTGGGCGCTGTAAGTGAAATCATCGCTCGTCGTACTGATTGACTGCTCACACAATTGCATAGGNACTACTCTATGGGGAGCTCGTCCTGACGACAAATTCTCCTTGTTGCATGACGCACCCCAAGCGCTCGATCGCATCAAGAGCTATCATTTTGCCCCTGGGACTGAGTACTCCTACTCTAATGTGAACTTCCACGTGCTCGGCCGGATTATGGAGAATGTATCTGGTCTCTCGCTTGCGCAGCTACTCACGCAAAGACTGTTCATCCCTGCTGGAATGAAGACGGCCAGTCTCTGCGCAAACACAAATGGACTTCCACTGCCCATTGTCGGATACGAAGGCAACGAGAAAGTAGGATACTTTGCCGCGACCAACCGAATCGAATGGGGCGGTGATGCTGGTATCGCTGCCTCGCTCGAAGACATGATCGCTTATGAGATTTACCTTGACAAAAGTCTGTCGGATGACAAGAGTCTGTACACCCAAACGTCGCAGGAGCAGAAATTCCGTGATGGCACACCTGCTGGCTATGGGCATGGACTGAAGCGATCCAAACTTGCGAGACAGTTGGCCATTGCTCATGGTGGCGCCCTTCGCGGCTTCCGACACGCAAGGATGCAGTTCCCTTCGAATCGTCTCTCTGTGGTGGTCATGCACAATTTCGAGACTTCGCCAGGCGTGCCCGCCGAGTTCATCGTCAAGAAGGTCCTTGACGTACAAGAGCCTGAGCCCGAGGTCATCAGTGTCCCTGCCGCATGGAAAGGCCATTACTTCGACGAAGACACTCAGCTTTATATCGCAGTGGAGGAAGGCGACAGGGAAAAGCCTGGCACAATCTCCGTTATCTATGGCCCTGGCACTGGAGGAGAGACTGCTAGATTGACTTCCGAGAAAGAAGCGAAAACAGACGGTATGAAACTGACTCTAGATGGGGATGTCCTGCACGTGGAACGAACCGATGACAATAGGACCTTGCGAGCAGTCCGCCTTCAGCCTGTGGACAAGAAAGACTTCGGCCAATCTTCCACCGAAGGCGTTGTGGGTGTGTACCGGAGTGAAGAATGCGACAGCGTTTTCACAGTGACTGGAGAACGTGGTAGTCTGTATGGCTCTTTCGACGGCTATCTCGGGCGCGGACCTATCTGGACTATGAGACAGATTGGCAAGAACCAGACATGGGCGTTGGCCAACCCACGAGGTCTCGATGCGACACCGCCCGGTGATTGGACTGTGGTCTTCAAAGATGAGAAGGATGGCGTATACAGCAGAGTTACTGTCGGCTGCTGGTTGGCTCGCAAGGTCGAATATGTTAGGCAAGGGTAACGATGAAAGCTTGTTCCGCCGTCATGATGGCAGTCACGGAAATGTTACTCAAAAGACACATCCCAAGTCAAGTCACATCTTATCATTTTCGCAGTATTGAAGTACAAAACTGTTGTATGCAGCAAGCAAAGTGTAACCCGATGCGACAAGACACGGCCATTAAAAAGACGTTGCAACATCCCAATCGGCGCAATACTCATCGTAAGACTCATTGCCCGTGACGCTGACCAGTCCCCTTGGCAGAGAATGGAAGTGTGCCATGTTTCCGAAAACACCTGAGTCGCCAACCTTCCAGATCTCATCCACAACTAGCTTTTTCCAGAATCGGAGGACATCTCGCAGAAGGGCCGGCGGTCGGCCAGGCATCCATGGACACGATCCTCTATAAGTGAAGAGGCTCTCCCTGCCTCTGCCATCTGAAAAGACGACTGCATCGCTCCAGCTTTCGTCAGGACATAGATACAGCCCGGCTTTCCGCTTCAACAATGCTGACCCTCTACCCCTGTAATCTCTCAGCGAAGGCTTTGAATGATCACGCCAACTGGATTCCACGGCCCGGCCAGGGCATAGCAATGTAGGTGCCAGATCGCAGGAAAGAGCTGACTGGTAGTCTTCCGGATCTCCGGGCTTGCGACCAATGACTTGTTTGCGTTCGCTGTCTTCCGGCTCCCCGGCGTGTAAAGCTTCAAATGACCCCGTAGACAAGACGCTCACACCTGGTGCGATACCGCTAAACGCTGGTCGACGTGCTTGAATGAGGAAAGCGTACTGGAATGACTGTTCTGTCCATTTTTGTGCCACACTCTGCTCAATGAGTGGTTCATGCGTGATTGGCCGTGTCACTGGCTTGGGCAGTTTGGCTTCGATGACATCAACCAACTCATTCCACGCTACGAGTGATGCTTGCAGATCCCGTTCTGTCCAAGGAACGAGGTTCAGTTCTGGTGTGATCTTACCAGTATCCCACATCTGGATCCACCGCTCCAGGATCTTGAACAGAGGTAGCCATGATTTCTTTGCTGGGAGTTGAAGATCGGAGCTAATCCAGGCAGCAACGTTGTGCTGCTGACTGAAAAGTAAACCGCTGCCCGTGGCTTCACCTGGATACAGCAGAACGAGAGTATCCTTGAAAGGCGCAAAATGCGGCAAGTCTTTGTTTTGGAAGAACAACTTGGGATTCGGTTGGTGGCAGAAAGGCGTGAGTAGTGTTGGTTCGTTGCTCATGGGTCTGGCAATGATATTGGCCAAGAAGCTTTCAAGGTCGGGTAGGAGGCGTGTTTTGAAGTCATCGTCGTATCCTTCAAGTACATTTTCGAGAGTCGAGGCGGCGCCTTGAGATTTTATTGCTCGTTGAACGAGTTCGTTGTGTAAATGTGCGCATCTGACTGGATCAAATGGTGGATCATCTTGACTTGGCATTGCTAAGTGAAGCTGGTTGTGGCCAAAATAATCGCACTGCGAACACTGGTGTATATATGCTAACAGACGGCATTGAGGCGCAGTCACGAATCCTTCGCTGCGGTGACCGAACGGGGACGCAGGTTCCACTCAGAGGTCCGATCAGGCAAAGCTCACAACCACAGGGAGCAGATACAGTTTCCGAATTGACCATACGATAATCCTATTGATACAAGTCTATGGCCCGTGTTCATTACTATTCCCTGCGACGCACCTCCACTTTCGCTACAGGATCGACAATTGGATAGAAACCCATGTACATCGAACTGGACTTGTAGCCCTCTTGTAACCTGAAGTCATACTTGAGCAGGATCTGAGCCAGGCAGAGTTTGAGCTCGGTGTCGGCAAGAAAGCGTCCTGGACAGACAGATCTGCCTAAGCCGAAAGTGGCATGCTCCTTGCTTGAAGCCGTGAAAGCGTAGACCGGGCTACCTGTCTTCTCGCGAAGCGACAAATAACGATGACCATCGAAAGCCTTTGGGTTTGTGTGGACGTCCGGACTCCACATCAGAGATGCGTCGACGGCGAGGTGAGATCCACGCGGTATCGTGACTCCATTGGGAAGTGTCGTGTCGGACAAAGCTTTTCGTTCGAGATCAACTATGAACAACGATTAGTACAGATGGTTGAAGCAGAACTCGATTGACGTACCAATGGCTGGAAGGGTTCTCTGGGCTTCTTTCATAACACTGTCCAACAATCGCATCTTGAACAAAGCACTTGTCGACCATCCGTGCTGTGATATGGCGTCTTCAATCTCATCACGAAGGGGCGAGATTATGTTGGGGTGTTTACAGATCTCCAGAAAAGTCTGCCTGAGTGCCTCTGAAGTGGTGAAGAGGGCCGCCACAACGAGAGCCAACTGCAAAGCACCATGGTCAACATCATGTTTGCCAGCAGCGTCGGAGAGCCACTTGATAGCATCGTTGTAAGTGGAATTTGATGTGGCTTTCTCGGCTTCTCTCCTGTCCAGCTCATCGCGCATCATAGTTCGAGCACGCTTCATGTAACGGCGGCAGGACTGGGAGAGGGAATTGAAATGATGGGCTACCGGCCATAGAACAGCAGGCCATTGCCGAATCTGACCTATGGCTGTGAAGTAATCTAGGACATAGTTGACGGTGAGTTCTTGCCACTCGGGGTTTTTGACGAGCTGTGGGCCAACAAACACGGCGGCTGCGGCTTGCGAGATGAGAGTGGTGGTGTCTTTCTGCCAGTCAAGCAAGCGCCATGTCTTGTTGTTGCCCCAATGTTGATCCAGAGCTTCGGCGAGATGGGCGTTCATTGCAGGTATATTGGCCTCATTCTTTGACAGCTTGCTTTTGATCATATTGACTACGAGTTGGTCGGCATCGTGCATGACTGTCAGGGCATCAAAGCCAGGATATCCTGAGAGGAAGTCGTCTCTCACGACTGCGAGATGATCGAGAGTTTTGTTGGTCTTGACCTAGTCTGTGAGCGAAGCAGGAAGTATTATTTTAGGACCATTGGGAGTCAGAATGTTAAAGGGTCCATGGTGCTTATCCAGCCCATTAGTAACGAGTGCTTTTGCTTGTGTCTGGTNATGAGCCTTCTTCAGACTCCAATCACGAGGGAAAGCATTGACGACGGGAAAGTGTGATTGAGCTCGGCGCTGACTGTGAAGATAATATACGGCCGATATAGCGACGACGAGCAAGGCATAGATCCAAGGAAGAGGAAGGTGAGCCATGACGATGATGAAGATGCTTTGCAGGCTGGAAGATGGATCTGTGTACGACTCAAATAATGGTACCATGAGCATTCTATATGTTCAAGCCTGGGTAATTGTGGGGTCAGGGTGCTCCCGGTAAACTGTTGAAATAAAGTCTCAGCTTTTTTCGGCTTCTGTATACACCTAGACAGGACTTCTCGGAGTAGCTGTTACCGGGCGGGAAGATCCAACGGAAGAAGACTCCCCGAAAGAAGAATCTTGCAAAGGCAAGAGTGTATTCGGCGGCGGTGTTGAGCGGTTGCCTTTTCCAGATGACGCGCCTCGATGGGTTTGGACACTGCATCGCTCAGCTGGCCGATGCGCAAACGACTAGGAAACCTTGGCTGTTGACCACGACTTGGTTGTCTGGTCCATTCTGGCAAGAGGCTGAAAGTTGCACACGTAAGTTGTTGAGAGGAGCAAGCAAGATGCATGTCACGAGCGAGGAGCCGGAGTTGATGCCGTCGGCAGTGTCGCAGTGTCGCAGTGTCGCAGTGTCGCAATGGTGACGTTGACATGATGGTTGCCCTGCGGCTTCCAATTCGAGAGGCATTCCGAGCTTCCAACCACCACCACCAAGACAGAGAGGCAGCATGACCGTTCAATCTAGAGTCGCAGCAGTCACAGGCGCCAACAAAGGCATCGGCCTTGCCATTGGTGTGTCACTCTTTGTCGGTGTCTCCTTGCTCATACTGACTGGCGCACANGTGCGCAACCTGGCCCTCACGTACCCATCGTCACCTCTCCGCAGCGGACCTCTCCTCATCTACCTCTGCGCACGCTCTGCATCTCGAGGCGCCGAAGCCGTCAAAGCTCTCCAGAACGATCCCCAGCTCAAGCAGGCAAAGGTCCTCGCTGAAGACGGCGGCGACACGACCATCACCTTCCGCGAGTTTGACGTCAGTGACCAGTTCAGCATCCACGCCTTCCGCGACTTCTTGCGCAAAGAGCATCCCGACGGCATCGATGTCCTGATCAACAACGCCGGCATCGCCATGGACGGCTTCAACCCCGACGTCGTCAAGCAAACGCTCGCCACAAACTACTACGGCACCCTCGAGGCCACCCAAGCCATCCTGCCCTTGATCCGCGACGGCGGCCGCCTCGTCAACGTCAGCTCCATGGCCGGCAAGCTCAACAAATACTCCCCCGAGCTGCGCGACGCCTTCCTCTCCGCTTCCAAGTCTGGCGTCCCCGACTGTACCGCCCTCATGCAAGACTTCACCAAGGCTGTTCAAGAAGGCAAAGAGAAAGAGCTGGGATGGCCATCTGCCGCATACGCTGTCAGTAAGGCCGGTACAACTGCCTTCACAAAGGCCATCGCCGCCGACGAGGACAAGAAGGGCAGAGGCGTCTTGGTCAATGCTTGCTGTCCAGGCTACGTCAACACCGACATGACCAAGGGCAACGGTGTCAAGACTCCTGACCAGGGCGCAAAGACTCCCGTCATGCTGGGTCTTGAAGACATCAGCGGCACGTCTGGCGGCTTCTGGCAGAGCGAGAAGATTATCGAGTGGTGATAGGGTTACAGAATATGACATTATGATTACATGAAAAGGTCTGCGACGGACAGATACACGACCGCCAACGAAGCCCATTCTATCCTATTTTGCTGAATCTCTCCTCTTCCTATCGTGTCGTTGTCAATGCTTTGACTCGAACAGGCGACTGTTCTCGACGTCGACTCAAAACCCCTGTTTCGCAACAATGCCTGTTGAAAAGCTTGGTTTCGTTGTGCAATGTGCAGCTTCAGGCTTCACCATGTCGACTTGATGGGAATTTCATCTGAGCGTCAGATTGATGGAATCTCCTGACTTTGTTCAGAGAACACTGGTGATTTCTCGAGTCTCGGTACGGCTCATGCAAGCCATCTAGCTATCGCAATATATCTAATGTTTGCGAAATACGCCGAAGTCGCCATCTTGCGTATGAATGCTATCACATAGCTCGATCAAAGGTCACCCGAAGACCATATCAACTGAGTTTAGAAAATGACCAGCCTATCTTGGGTTCCCGCCGAAGATGTCGTATCATACGAGTGGGAAATATGTAGGCTCGTCGAAGGCGCAGCGTCAATCGAAGATACATCTTCAGTACATTGTGTCTACCTTGGCGATCGTGGCTGGCTAGCAGCTGGTCAGCAGCTGACGCTCGTCGCTGTTCTGGACTTGCCTATACCGAGCTCAGTATTCGTCTGGCTGGCCCTCCCAAAATACTTTCATCAGATCAAGCTTCATACACATGCCACGCGCTTGCAACGCAGCACAAAAGGCGGCCGAATCGCCGAACACTTGTTGCTCCATCAGACTCATTGTCATGTACTTCGAAACGAGACCAACAACTTCGAGGTGCCCGGTTGGCTTGAGGTATCCAGACTGAGATTTCTCCAACGGCGGGGTAGCCGCATCGGAGGAAATGCTGACAGGGTCTTTCCAAGACGTGAAGTTATACTTCGATGTTGGAGAGCTGGTCAGACCACTCGATATCAGAAAGGCTTGCTCTTGGAACAGGGTATATATGTAGGTCAAAGCCCAACCTCATATACCAGCAAACTTCCACAGACTACTGTCTTGCTTGTCGACAGCTTGTTCCTAAAGTCATTCTTCCGTCATGTCGTCCCTCAACTACATCAACGAGCCGGGCGCTGGTCAGAAGCATAGCGACATGGCCCATTACTCCCAGATAGTCGTCATTGGGAATGTCGCGAAATTATCGGGCCAGGGTGGATGGGATGAGACAGGAGAACTTGGCGACTTTGACTGGATGCAACAGATCGACAATGCGTTCGACAATGTCGACAGAGTCTTGCAGGCAGCTGGCCTTCGCGGCTGGGAAGATGTAAGCTTGTACAATTCCTATCCTAAGTCTTTGGAATGATCCTCACAGAGCGAGCCANNGGTCTATCTCCTTCGGAGCTATCAGCTTGACGTTGTCTCCCACTTTGGATACTTGGCCGAGAAACTGAAGCAGCGTATCCCTGGCTACAGGCCTATCTGGACAGCGGTGGGCGTGGCAAGCCTAGTGTTCCCCGCGATGTCTGTCGAGCTGGAGGTGGAAGCGATTAGGCACGAAACATGAAGGTGAACTATGCAGCCTCGGATGATGGGTTGATCGACCGCGGGCTCTCCGTACAACCATCGCCCATGGCTAGCAAAGTCTGGCAAATACTCTTGCTTGCAGGCTGACACGGGCATGACACGGGGATCACCGAGAGTTTGAGAAGACGCTGAGGATTTTGTTGGGCTCATCTAGCAACGAAATTTTCAGGGACTTCTGTCATCCTGCGGCTGGGTTTTACAAGTCTCTCCTGGGTTTGGCAAGCTGTAACTACTCTTTCACAGTCACTACTGCGGGGTCGAATCAAATCATCGTTATGATCTTTCCTGTCAAAGTGTGTTGTGGTGGACAGACGGGCGAAACTCACTTGTTATACCTCGGCTCAGTAGTGCCAATATAGGGTGCAACAGAAGTGGTATAGCCCACCATGGCCGATCCTTGCACTAATCAACGCTGCGAGCATGGTGACATGGTCACCTCGGCACTCTTGATTGGCAAATAATTTGTGATACGTTTTGTAGTTCTACGACCTTTTAGGCGGGAACTTTGCACCCAATCGTGCAATAATCGCAGAACCCGCATGTTGTCGACCCATCGAGCTCCATAGCGAGTGCTCAATCATAGGGGTGCTAATGCTGATCTACTGCGTACTGATTCAAAACATTGATGCACACAAGACAAGTCAATAAGTATTGCATACCAAGACACCTTCAGGCTTTGGAGACTTGCTCGTTTCCAGGTCAGTCGCTTCTCAGAAAGTTGAACCCTCGGGTGCCTCACTCAGAGCACCTGCCAATAAGATCCTCCAAACTGTAAGAGGTCCGTGGCTTGGAAATTCTGGGGTCGTAAATGCGGGATTGCGGGGTTTCGAGAAATGCCTAGGTACAAGTAAGCAGGGTTCATTATTGAAGCATAACCATGCCTGCGGAAATTGTCTTACCTAAGTGGGTGAGATCTCCAGGCTGATCTTCGCCGCTGACCCAGAACATCTTGTCTGTCGCGTGAATACAGAGATCTTCAAGGTGCGACGTTTTGCGCATCGCTCGTGACATACCAAGGTTTCCATGCCACATCACAACGAGCTGCGAAGCGTTCTCCTTCTGTGCGATGGCAAAGGCAAATACTCCAAGGAGATGTTAGCGTGCCAACGCACGCCGAACTGTCACAAGATCGATGAGACAAGCAATGGAGACATATAAAGGTAGGTGCTGGTTGCCTGATACATGCCTCTTTCTACCCCTTGAGATCATCTAGAAATACTTTGATACCAGCTGATCATGTCCAAAATTCTCCAAGTCTTGCTTGGTCTTGCGCCNCTTACTGCAGCCTTCCCTGCCAGTGTTCTGGAAGCTGTCAAGTTCCACCCTGGGCTTCAAGCTCGTGCCAACGAGATCCTTCAAGAGAGACAAGCTGGCGCCGCTGCTGCTCAGGCTATCTTTGAGCCAATCCCTATCTTCAACGCTGAGGAACAATACGTCAATATCAGTGCAGGAAGTGGACACGAATATGTTGCACCAGGCCCGAACGATCTGCGCGGTCCCTGCCCTGGGTAAGGCTCACTCTTGGATGCTTTGTTATCTTTGTCTCCTGACATTGTCTTTAGATTGAATGCGTTTGCAAACCACAACTTTCTGCCGCACAATGGCTATGCTACCATCCAACAATTCATCGATACCACTACTGAGGTCGTGGGTATGGGAGCCGACCTCGCCGCCTTCCTGGCTGTCTTGGGGGCCGCTGTCGATGGCGATGGCACGTCGTGGTCGATCGGTGGCACACCAGGCCCAAGTGTTGGTGGTCCTCTCTCCGGTCTAGGCAACGGGATCTCTGGCTCGCACAACAAGTGAGTGACCCATGGGCACTGTCCAACCTCATAGGAAACCACTAATCATGCTCCCAGGTACGAGAGCGATGCTTCGCCAACTCGTCCCGATCTGTACGAAGCAGGCAATGACTACAAAACTGTTGCTAAGCAATTCGAGCAACTCATCAGCATGTCACCTGGCGGTCAAGTGACTCTCGAAAGTCTCACTTCGTTCCGCTCGGTGAGGTTTGACACCCAGATTGGTGAGTACAACCGAACATCGAGGCGCTACAAAGTATGCGAAACATGCTAACCAATACANGCCAACAACCCTTACTTCTTCAATGGACCATTCACCGGTGTGGCAGTGCAGCCAGCAGCGTAAGTGAAGTCGTCTTCGCGTTTTGATGTATGCTGAATCTTCCCATCAGANTACACCTTCATCTACCGCTTCATGGCCAATCACTCGGCCGAAGCACCGTACGGCTACCTAAGCTACGATACAATCAAATCTTGGTTTGGCATTACTGGCTCACAGGGCTCGTATGTGGCAAACCAAGGTCAAGAGCAAATCCCCGACAACTGGGTAGATGCAAACGATACAACAATGACGCTCGACCGATAGCTAATGATTGTCCCANNGTACAAACGCGCGATCGCATACCCTTACTCAATTCCCTACTTCACTGGAGACCTTGTAAATGCAGCACTTCTTCACGTACGTAAATCACATGGCGAATTTTATCTTCCAACCATTCGAGACCATGACTAACATCTGCGGCCCACACAGCCCAAGTTCCTAAACATCGGCGGTAACCTCGGCAAGACCAACACTTTCACTGGTGTTGATGTCACCAATCTCACAGGAGGCGTTTTCAACGCCGCAGGGTTGCTCCAGGGCAACAATGCCGCTTGCTTCGCGTTCCAATTCGCCGCACAAGCCAAGCCAGATATCGCCCTGAGCATATTCAACGTGATAAATCAGGCCCTCGGCAGCGTACTGAGCGTGTTGGGCTGTCCACAGTTACAGCACATTGATGATGAGCAGCTGAAGCAGTTCCCCGGATATCAGAAGAGTACTTAGGCTGGCACTACCAAGTAGAGCTAAGGTTAAAGCTAGAGTGGAGAGTATGATAGTCAATTGTCAGTGCTTTGAGCCTTCGACGACAGTAGTAGTCGTAGTTTCTATGAAATGATCGATCAATTGTTCGATACATTGCTTAGTCGATCAGACTACACAGCGCTATAGAAAACCTACTAGCCACCTTCTACTAGTGAGGCATCGACAGATGTATAACGTTGAGCAGTCCGACAGCGGCCACAGCGAGAACCATTGGGGCAACGACGTCGAGCCTGTTTGTGTTGCGATTGAATCAAGCTGTAAGATTACAATACCAGGCGAGTACATGCAGTATCTCATTCCCCATACTGTCCTGGACGAAGAGAATCAGAAGATGGAAAAGTGCTGGACCGAGGAGGCAGGGAAGGAGAAGAAGGACATCTTGGCAGCGGAAGGTCTGCCAGAGACATGAAACGCCCAGCCATTCGATGTGCTAAAAGTTCAAAACCATATTTTGTACTAAGAGACATGATGAAGAACATTGATTGCATAGAACGCGAGGTGATAACTACGTTGCTTCCCTCTTGGCTTCCAATGTTGTTCTCGGGAGATATGGTAACGTAGCCAATTTTTGCTGCACATCGGCCATGCTTCCATCACCAGCTACAAGCATTCTTAGAGCCATAGAAAAGGCGTCTGCTGTAGCTCTCACTTCTCTTACCGTATAAAATCTCTCCAAGCACCTCAACTCGAATGTAAGCTCCCCTGAATTCGTCGAACTCGTAGTCAGCTCAAAGTCGGCTGTTAGTTTGTGTTCAACGTCTGGCTTTCCAACATCAATATAACCAATGTCGTCCACCGCGATGTGTTCTTTTGGTATCACTGCCTGGTGGAGAATAAACGAACTATGATGGTACATCTTGTCCTTTCCCGGCCAGTCTGTGCAGTTCGCCGCAATGGTATTGGAGCCAAGATGTGCGTGAGGTATTGACGACATTGCTTGACGTTGCACCAAACTTGTAAAGTCTGCGGTTGACAGAGTCCCATCTAGTTGAACTCGGAGTGGACATTCGCATACACAGCAACCAATTATCTTGTCGCTGTCTTCGATGTTCTCGTCTCGACCATGCACGAGAAACAAGAATACAACATCATCGCGTCCAGAGATCGCGCCAAGTACAATGCTCCATGCACTTTGGACGAGTGTCGACATCGACGCTATGTTCTTGCTGTGGCTGTTTGACTTAAGACTAATGGTACGAGTAACGAGGTGCTCAGGACTGGGACTGCTGGGGACTTCACAGAAGCTTGACTCTGGATCCGTACGCAGAGTGGTAGGAGAGGAGCCTCGGAGAAGTTGTTTCCAGTAATCATACGACTCTTGCGATTGCTCCAGGAGACGATCACGGAGGTATTCAAGATAACTCGGTCGTGTTGATAAGTTACATTTCTCATACGTCGAGACAAGGTCTTCCAACAGCAGGTTCCACGATAGACCGTCGAAAATGCTATGATGAATGTGAATCGCCAGTCGGGTTGTATGCATCTTGCCCACATCATTCTGCTCTACTGACACAAGTACGGGGTGTTCCATGAAGTCGTGAGCAACTGACATCGCTGTGAGCTGTTCATCAGTTTGATGCTGGCGAATCCGACACTCCCATTCTCTGCTGTCCGCGCTGAGCACTTTTTGCGTCGTGACTCCAACTTCAGACCTTGAGAAAGAGAGTCGCAGTGCCGCAGTACCTTCTATCCATTGACGTACCGCCTCCACGAGTCTTGCTGTGTCAAATGCGCCTCGGAAAGCTATAGTGTACTTGTACAACTGATCTCTTCCCGAGCCTTGCGATCGAGTCAGGTAAAAGTGCTGGAAGTTCGTGACTGGGTGCTGAATGCGATCTGAGTCTTGCACAGCCTCATCAGGGGCGTGAGGAGAGCGTTGAATAGCATTATCCTGCCTTCGGACCTTGTCACAAAGCTCGATCAAAGATGTGTGAGACATGATATCAGCCGAGGTTATGGAAAGACCAGCCTTTCTTGCATCCCTCACAAGCACCATCGCTGTCAATGNAGTCTCCCCGAGATCCGTCCAAATGCTGTCAGGTTCAATATCCTCTGCATTGACCTTCAAGATATGAGACCAGATGGGCAGTAGTACAGCGTAATTCGGTTCTGCGATTCGGGATGGCCAATCAATAGATGTCGAAGTCCGAGCTGAATCAATGGCTACATCGTCATGCTTTGGATATGCTTCAAAGCTCTCTGTGACACAGTTTTTCACAGATCGTCTGTCCAACTTGCCTGTCGCTGTCTTAGGCATTGCAGAGATTGAGATCACATCTTGCGGGATCATCCAACCTGGTACCGAATCCTGGAGGCGGTCCTGCATTTCCTTACGGAGTGCTTGGTCGCTTGTCCGGTGGTCCTGGGCAGCAGAGGCTCCACTCGAATGATCAGCGCCTGCCGAGGGTGTCACGAATGCAACGATGCGCTCATTGCCACACTCCTCACCACTTACAACCTTGTCGACAACCACTTGGCCGATTTCGTCAGGGAAAGCTTTTAGGATATGATGCTCGATCTCTGCAGCTTCGACACGCTGGCCATGAACCTTGAGTTGAGCGTCTTTTCTTCCGTAGAGAAAGAGGTCGCCATTTTGCTGGTATTGCACCAAGTCTCCCGTCTTGTACCATCTGCGCCCATCCTGACCAGCGCCAAATTTTCCAGCCCATGCAGGGTTCTGTATGAACGCCGCCCTTGTCTTCTCGGGCTCTGCAAAGTAGCCTTGTGCCACGCTGTACCCCTCGACTATCAGCTCTCCGAGTCCACCGACAGGCATCAAACGATCGTGGTCTTGCGGGTCGACCACCCAGTATCGTAGCCAGGTACTGTTGCCAATACTACGGTGGGTGGTTTCCGACAGCGACAGCAAGGCTGTACTGTTCATACTGCAAGCCTCACTCTGTCCGTATCCGTTGCGAAGCGTGACTTCTCCTGCTTCTAGCCAGGTATTTGCAAGTGAATGCGGTATGGGCTCGCCAACCAATACCAGAGTTTCGAGGGTGGGGACTCGAGCAGGATTGAGCAGTTTCGCGACAGAAGGCGTCATACAGATGTACTCGGCTCGCATACGTCGAATAGCGTTCTCGAGGTCGTTGGTGCGCTCGTCAGGGCTTGGTATGCACACTATGCCGCCGACCATGAGTGTGGAAAGTGTGTCGAGAATGGATACAACAAAGCTGTACGAGGCGTATTGGAAGACTCTCTTGCCTTCAGTGATGCCGAACTTGTGTACATGGTCGGTGTAGCCAGTCACCCAAGCAAAGTGCTGTGTGACTATAGCTTTTGGAATGCCAGAGCTGCCCGAAGTGAAGATGAGAAAGGCGGTGTCTTCAGGCGTTACTGTGTAAGCTTCTCCAAGCTGACTGACATTTGCGCATTCTGTGCCCTGGTCAACGACCGCAAATTCCCCATAAGCATCGCTACTAATGACGGTTGAGACCAGTGAGCATCCCAGAGCCGTGTGCTCACGAGATGTAATCGCATAAGAAATATTTGTTCGGCCTGTCATTACCTCGAGCCTCTCGAACGGCAAGGTTGGTTCCAGCAGCAAGAATGCGCCACCAGCCTTGAGGATGGCCAGCAAGATCACAGGGACCCACACAGACTTGTCCATGAAGACTCCCACGACGCAACCGCGCTTGACACCAGTTGTTCGAAGGACCTTGGCTAGTTTCTGGGAGCGTTCTTGAAGCTGTCCAAATGATAGCATACCATCCCACGCCTCTATCGCTGTTTGGTCTGGGCTATGCTGTGCAATTTGGGTTATGCAGTCGTGTATCGTCCGACTGTCGAGCTTTTGTGGTGAAGAATTAAGTGATCTGATGAAAGCCTCGTCTTGGGGTCCCAGCTCGTTGGGCCGGGCAACAGTGTCATTCATGCCAGCATTCAACACCCATTTGACTTGCTTGGACAGATATTCACCAACCTGCCGAACATGGAAGCTGCTGATTGTGGCTTCATCGAACAGCAATCTGATCTGGAGATTGTTGGCGTAGGTCTGGTGTATGACGACTTGCAGTGGGATGTACTTGAAAGGTGTTTCAGGATCACGGCCTGCATTCGAAGAGTCATGGATGATCGCACTCGGTGCCGCAATTGTGTTGTTCAAGTCACCGACTTCAGATGCTGTGATCGACTCAAGCCCCTCTCGGATCGTTGTGCTGGCGGTAATGGTCAGATGCTGGACTGATGGTCGCGAAGATTGCCTGTTCAAGGACATGAAACGGACGGTCGTGTCGCCAGTATAAGCCCATACCAGAGCCGCAAAAGCAAGATTGACGTAAGAGTCGATGGATTCGTCGTTTTGGGATGCGTTGTGCTCCTCTGCGCTGATTGTAATGTCGTGTTCGGCCCACGCTTGCGACGCCTGCGCCTGAGCTTTGCCATCTTGACAAGGGAATTGCGATAAATTATCCATGGGGATCAAGAAGGACGATTTTGCTTTGCATCAAGTGATGTAGGAGTCGCTGGGCTTTTGAATGCGCAACAAGATGACCGAGCATTGTCGCGCATTCTGTCATCTTGGTAGAGATCTCATGCTGGCGTCGCTGATCTTTTGCACTACCAAACTAAATTCTTGGTTTGAAGTGCAACGGCGTTTGTAATGAGTAGTGGCGAGGCCGGAAGGGTACACCCAAATCGATCCATTGTCATGTTTGCAAGCGTTTCTGCCATGCACATACTGTGTCCCGATACTCCGCTGACAGCATATTCCCTGCACTTCTTCTCGATATTATATCAACAACATCGACAAGTGCTTCACATGTGAAGTCTGTCACGCAGCACAAGACACGTCATGATTTGAGCCAGTGCATTGTGCTTCTTGAGTCAAAACCTAAACGGCCCGGAACGAGCTTTGCTGTTTTGAGGCAATGCGTTTCCACTGATGAAGTTAGTTCTTGCTAATCGAACACTCTATCCTGATGGCGCCTTCAAGATCTTCGACTCATTAGTCACCTTTTTCAGTCGCGATCATTATCGCATGACCTCTTGAGTATGCCGAGGATATCATCTGCGCAAAACAAGACACGTAAGGACTTCCTGTCTTCCGTCGCGACATGGGATCTTGCACACACGTGCCCTCGACAATGCGAATCCGTAGCGCACGCAGCTCGAAGATGTTTGTTCTTTGCACATGCTCTTTGGCCATCTTCTCCGACATCTTCTTCTACAGCGTTCTTCCACCGATTCTTCCTACCGTACTGGCGCGTCGTGTCAAGGTTGATAATGATCAAGGTGAATACCGATCCAAACAAACAGCTTGTTGATTGGCGACTGACCTGACCTTGTTGCAGTTCAGCTATGGACAAGCCTGCTCCCGGCGATATACAGCATCTCAATCGTGATCAGTGCGCGTGAGTGAGCCGTCAAATACTGTGGTACTATGACAACGGACTGAGCCATCTGGAAAGCTATCGCAGGTCTTTTCTCGGACAAGTCAAAACTGCGAAGACCCGTGTTTCTCTCTGGACTGGTGTTCTAAGCCGTCGGTCTCGCACTCCTTACGGTAGGCACATCTCTAGGCTTCTGGATCGGCGGCTTGATCATCGTAGGACTTTCATCTGGCATTGTCTGGACCAGCAGCCTTTCCCTTGCTGTGGATGTTGTCGAGGAGAACCTGGCCGAGCATATGGGGTTTGTCGGCATCAGTGTAAGCTGTGGTCTCTTCCTTGGTACAACATTGAGTGGTGTTGTCTATGAAGCAGCCGGATATTATGCCGTTTGGGGTATGTGCTATGGTTTGGTTGGCATAGATGCTATCTTGCGATTGACAATGATCGAGCCTCGCAAGACTGACATGGAATCGTCTTCACCAGAAACTGAGTCGGGAACCTTGACAAAGAGGCTCAGCCTTTGTCCGCAAATGACCCAGGACTCAAAGACGGGTTCTCGTTGTTGCCGCCTGTCATATTGCTATGGCGCTCTTCCTGGTTCGTTGCAATGCTGCTCATTACAATTCTGGATGCTACACTTCTCACGACGTTCGATGGCGCCCTTGCGATACATCTCCAAAACACATTCAACTACAACACAAAGGGAGTTGGTTTGACATATATCTCGCTTGTTATCCCAACATTCCTGGCACCCTACATCGGCCGTTGCGCAGACCGGTATGGCGCTCGAATCATCTTGACGGCAACCTTTCTGCTCGGCATCGTTCCCTTGGCCTGTCTACGGTTTGTGGACCATGATTCCCTTGGACAGAAAGTTCTTGTCTGCGCCATGCTTGGACTCACAGGACTGTCCGCAGCTGGAAGGCTTGGAATATATTCTGCTCAGATCGATCACAGTGTTGTTCGATACGCTTGTGAACATCCGAAGCTGCTTAGCCATGAGAAAGCGATTGCTCAGAGTCAAGGCCTCTGGTCAGCAGCTTATTCGGTCGGTTGCGCATTGGGTCCACTCTGGGAGGCTTGATTCAAGGAGCTGCAGGATGGAAGACTGAGACATGGACTGTGGCCTTACTAAGTGGTGTGGCAGCAATATTCGCGATGGCCTTTGCAGACGGCTGGCTCTTGAAGATGTCTTCTAGAGGAGGAGTTGAACCACGCTGATTTGGCTGCATGTCCGACACATCCGATCGGTTTTCTTGACGTAGGCTTTGCAGGCCAAAATCCCATGCAGAATCAATGTTTTTGCTTGCCCCAAGCGATGAATCTTAGGAGTAAGGAAATGTTACTGGCATATAACTAAACTTCAATAATTTTAGTGTTTCTAGCTATCTATTTGCACGGAGGCAATAATCGTACGTATGAGGCTAGTAGAACAACGCCGCCGTCCTTTTATTATTACCGTTACTACTATTACTACTATTACTACTATTACTACTATTACTACTATTACTACTATTACTACTATTACTACTATTACTACTATTACTACTATTACTACTATTACTACTATTACTACTATTACTACTATTACTACTATTACTACTATTACTACTATTACTACTACTATAGGCGGCTCTATATAGTTATTACTTACTAAATATATAAAACCCCTATAATTAGGTATTATAATTCCTTTTTTATAGGTATAGACCGGTACCGAATTTTTAGTAGTATATCTTTTATATCTACTATATATATAATTATAATAATTAATTCTATACTATAATAGTAAATATCTAATTCTAAAATATCTATAGTACTATATATAAACTTATCTAATTTATATATAACTTAAGTACTTATAAAAGTAAAGATATATAGTAATATATAAAGTTTTACTAGTAATAAAGCTACTTAGAATTAGTAATAATTTAATGTAATACTATATAAGCTATATTATACTTTTAAATAAATAAGATAAGATAAGATAAAAGGAATTAGTAGTCTATTTCTACTAGATAGTCTAGTATTAGTTATAACTAGTAAGTAAAGGCCTTAGTTAATTTTATATTCTATCTAGTTTCTTATTTAGATATAGACTAGTATAGTAGAAATATACTTATCTAGCTACTTAGTAATACTAGATAAGAAAAACTATTATAGCTTCTTATAGGTTTATAAGGTCTTTTTTTCTAGTAGGCCCTTTTAGCTAAAAATAAATAGTTTAAAAGCCTAGCTAATAGAACGCTTAGAAAGTAGCTACCTCTAGGTTAGATTTAGTTAGTATAGAGATAATGCTAGATATATTAGGTAATTTTATAGTGGTTTCTATATATAGCCCCTAGGTTCTTAAAATTTATAATAATAATATATTATATCTTTATAAATAACTTATAGTACTCTTTTTATCTCTATATATTAATTATAATTAACTATAATAATTCTTTCTATATATTTATAGGTTATATATATTAGGGTTTAGGGTCTTATAATATAAAGTAAATAACCTAGCTAATAGAACGCTTAGAAAATAGCTACCCCTAGTATTATAAGGCTAATCCTAGCCCTAGGGTTAAGGCTTAGTAATGCTAAGCTTACTAGAGTCTTTTCTTTATATAAAGTAGACTTTTTTTCTTTTCTTTCTTAGTAAAACCTACCTAATAGATAGCCGGGTCTTTTACTAAAAGACCTACTAAATCTAGTAAGGTAAGGTTGCTTAGCATGCTAGAAATAGTAATTTCTACTTAAAGGACCCCCTAAAGGACCCATTTTATATCTTATATAGATATAATCTAATACTTTTGTAAAACTAATAAGGGTTTTAGGGTTAGGGTTTAAGTCGGAAGCTTCGCTTCTTGCAGAATTCGATAAAAGTAGCAGGTTCGAGATGTCGCTTAAGGTATTTAAGCACTGTGGGTGCGTGGAAGAACGGATATGCGGCATGCCAGTTGTCGAGATAACTCTTAGTCCATGTCACGGTTCAACACCAAAACACTACGCGTGACCCTGTCCCCTGGCCGCCGGCCAGGGTTAGTGGCCGATCACCTGGTTATCAACTGATGGAAGGCCGCTGTCATGTGACAGCCGCCAAGGCTGGCTAGGAACCTTCCCAGCCAGCTTCCTGCTACCTCTTTGTTTCCTTGTCTACGTCTCGTCGTATAGCTTAGGCCCGTATCTACGTATTGATTGTTATTTCCGACTGCGCTCCCTGACAGTCCAGGGTTGCAGGTCTTCGAAATCGAAGTTTGTCGGTCCGTTGGCGGTGACTTCGACTTCTTCGGATGACCAGAGGTTCTTCGAGCTGTAAGGAACCGCCTCATCCAGCATATCCTCCTCCACAGGTACGATGCTCTGATTGGGCGTCTGAGGCGACGGCTGCACGCGAGACTTCGCCGAAGCGTGATACACTGATCTGACGAAGTGAATTCCACTTGAACTCCCTACGAAGCTGGATGGATTTGTGCCATCGGACTGCCTCATCAACCCGATCTCGCGCCGTTGACGGTCTTCCGATTCGCGCCGACGGCGCTTCGAGGGTAGTCCATTATCTCTAGCGCGTTCCAGTACTGAGGCTAATATACCGTCGCCTGGGTCATCTATTACATCTAGCATTGGTCCTAAATGACAAGATGGGAGACAGAAGGAGAAATTGTTGATCTTCGGGAAAGTGTTCGCCCGCCCGCCGTTGCCATCACATAGGCAACAACCTTGGCTTTTTGCCAACTGGCGAAACAAATGGGCCGTTCCAGACATCGTCGCTCGCGAAGTACAGTGAACTATGAGCCTTCCCAGTTCCGCTGACCTGGGAAAGCTCTCTCGAGTCTCTCCAGATACGACAAGCGGCTGACAAGTGTGCCTGATCTTCGTCACCGTGACCAGGGTACGGGAACATAGCACCGGTGGTCTTTCTGAACGGCAGGCGGGTGCACGGATTTCCCCGCTTCCTATCTGCAGTGAGTTGGAGCTCTGGAGTGGCTGCTGACGGTACGGTGGAATGGTTGTCCCGATGGCTTGAAACGCTCGCGCTGAGGTCCAATGAAGGGCTCCGACTGACCGTTGTTATAAAGGAGGGGATGTCTACAAAAGTCTACAGCTTGGCAAGACTCACGAAGTTTGTGCTTTACTCAAGATTGGTGGACTAGAATCCAGATAAGAAAGACCTGCGCCAAAATCCACCAGACATGGCTTCAACATCGACATACAAATCAAACTCAAACATTGGACCAGCGACTTTGCTGGACAAGCTGCAATGCGTTGCGCTGCTTCCTTTCTTCCCTGTCGCGGCATTCCAAGTTTTGATTCGAAGAATGTCTCGGCCCACCAATCTTAGCTTAAAAGCAGACTTCATCAGGACATTCATTCGCATGTTCGTCTCGTTTCAATATTGACAACCCCGCGATCGCTCACGAACAGCACAGNNATCGCAGCCATATCTACCAGTTAGCATTCTCCGAGATACAACCAAGAGTCCCGACGCCAAGTTTGCAGTCGCAAAACGCTTCCCCAACAAATCAGGACTTTATGAACCAGTGTCCGGAGAGGGTTTCTCTGGCCGATGGATCCGTAAAGGCTGCCCCGGGAAACTTACTGCAGTCACCGATGTCGACTTGGTGATATACTATCTTCACGGCGGAGCTTATCGGTTCGGACATCCAGCATCTGGCATCGCGCCATTTCTGCGTATCGCCGAACTTGCAGACAAGAAGGGTATCTCCATCGCTGTGTTCGCACTCGACTACTCTTTCGCTCCCGAGGCAAAGTATCCTACGCAACTAAACGAAGCAAAAGCCGCATACCGCTACTTACTCAAGGATCAGAACATCGATCCTGCAAAACTTGCTATATTTGGGGACTCCGCAGGCGGACACTTGCTGCTAAATCTGCTCTGCGCGTTGGCGGACGAAAAGTCACTTCCAAAGCCCAGTGCTGGTGCATTCCTGATTTCTCCATGGCTCGATCTGCGTTGCTCAAACGATGGCTCATTCATTCGCAACCAGCACCTCGACTGGCTTGTCTATAGCGAGCTGAAACAGGCTGGTGAGCAAGTCATGCCACGTAAACTCGACAAAACAGTCCCACACATTGTCAGTTTCGTCCTCCCTCGCCTAGACAAACAATCCTGGGCGGACATCCTACCCAGCAAAGTTTTCGTGGCTATGGGTGGGAACGAGATGTTGTTGGACGATGCTGTTGCTTGGGTCGACCAGATTAAAGCTGAGGGCATTGACGTGCAGCTTGAGATCGACGAGGGACGGGGCCATATCTGGCACATGATGGATGATATCTTTGACACAGACCCGTATTTCGCTGCGACTGGTGAAGTTCCAGTGGGTTTGATGACGGGAGCTGCGGCTATGGCGGAGGCCATCATCTCGACGGTGTCTCGTTGACGAAGCCGTAACATCTTTCCTTGGTTGTTTCCTGATCACTATTTCCTAAGGTGTTGTTTGCAGAGCAACTTTTTTGTGAACAGTCCTTCCAGAATCATGAACAAGCACATTGTCAGTATCTCTCTAATCAACAAAATACTACATCACGCTCCATAGAGCACTCAATGGCCCCACTGCGATTTTAACGAGCAATCGGACATTTGTACAGCTCTTTATCATCGTGTCACCCCAAATGAACAGCAAAAGAGGAAGAGGTCAACGCATGTGACAACAGACCATTTCATCTTGCAAGAGGATAAAATCACGAGCAAAAACTCCTCCCACAACACAAACCAGTCAACACACATCCACAAACCTATGTAGCATCAACACCTCTGTCCTGACAATACTTGACAACCTCCTTTGCCAACTTCTTCTTCTGATCCACCGCGTTGTCCATGATGTCCTGGATCAAATCAAACTCCTTCTTGGTCAAGACGCCGCGGCACCGCCACCGCTCCAGACACCCTCAGCGAGAACAGCCCACAGACCAGAGCCCTTGCATACATCTTCCATCAACTGCATAACTGCCGAAAGCTGATAGGGCAACCAAGTAATGATTGGACTGCCGCCGGTGGCAACGGGGTAAGAAGTGCCTTTGATGATATACTCGCGAGTAAACTGCTAGTGACGCCATCTGAAGCTGTGAATGTGGTCCAAGACGCGGAGATATAAGACCACAGCACCAAGATCGCCGGAGTTGGTTAGGAAGTCGCGAACGCCCACATCAGCGGCCTAATTAACGACTAAATGGAAGTTTAAGTCTAAGGTCTAAAATTCTATTTTTATTTTTTAGCTAGTTAAAGTCTCTAGTACTTAGTTCTTACCTAGTATAGACACTCTAGTAGTATAAGATTACTATAAAAGTATTAAAAAGCTAAAATAAGCTTAGTATTATATACTTCTTTAGTTTATCTCTAGATCTAGACTTTTTACTTAGATCTAGACCTTTTATAGTATTCTTAGCTTAGTTTCCTACTACCCTACTTACTTAGATTTTAGAAAGAAAATCTAGATAGAAAGAAAAAAATTCTATTAAGTTTATATTCTTAGTATTACTTAGAAGTCTAAGCTTAAAACTCTAGCTAATACTTAGCTAGACCTTTTCTAGTATCTAGTAAGTTAAAAGAAACCTAGATTATAACCTATAGAGCTAGTAAGAGTTCTAGATAGCTAAAAAGAAATAGAAATATCTTTACTACTAAAAGTAAAGTCTTAAGTAACTTTAGATCTAGACTTATCTAGACTAGTCTAGACCTTTTCTAGTTATTTTAGAGCTATATAGATACTTATCTCTAGTTTAGATAGTTAGTATAAAATCTAGATAGCTAGAAATAAATAAGGTTACTTTTACTAGTAAAGCTAAAACTAGGACTAACTATATATCTATACTTTTCTAGACTAGTCTAAATCTTTCTTAGTACTAGAAAGGCTTTACTAAGTCTTATTATACTTTAGATAGATACTATAAAATAAGAATAGCTAAATATAAATAAGGATATACATAGTAGTAACTTTTAAACTTTTAGTTATCTTAGTATAAGACTTAAGTAGACTAGTCTAGACCTTATCTAGTGTTTTTCTACTTATATATAATCTTAGGCATAGCTTAGATAGATAGTATAAAATCTAGATAGCTAGATAAAAATAGATATACTATTACTAGTAAAAGCTAGACCTTAAGTAACTAGGAATTTAGGCTTATCTAAAGTATACTAGACCTTTTTAGTTACCTAGTAGCTTTATAGATCTAACTCCTAGCTTTAGATAGTCTATAAGAAATCTAGATAGCTAGAAAAAAATAAAAGTATAATATTTACTAAGCTAGTACTAAGACTAACTTTAAAAGTAGACTTATCTAAACTATTATAAACCTTTAATAACTACCTATTAGCTATAGAGAACTTTATATACCTACTAGAAAGCTAGTATAAAATTAATATAGCTAGAAAAAAAGTAAGAATATATCTACTAGTAAAGATAAAGTAATATAGAAGTTTAGTATTATACTTATTTAGACTTAGCTAAACTAGTTCTAGTACTATACTATCTCTATAAAGCTATAAAAACCTTATAGTTAATATACTAGTACTAAAAAAGATAAAGATAGATATAATATAAAAAAGCTATCTATTTAACTTCTAATCTTTATAAGTATACTCTTTTTAGGTCTTCCTTTAGTTTTAACCTTTTTAGGTCTACCTCTAGCTCTTTTTCTAAGGCTTTCTTTTTAATTTTAGGACTAGATATATTAGTACTAGAGCTAGAGTTACTACTAATAGTTATATTCTTAAGATTAGAAGGATTAGCCTTATAGATACTAGTAAAGTTATCTTTTAAGCTAGGTATTTCTATATTACTAGTATCTTCTAAAGGGTAGGAGTTTAGACTACTAGTAGATTCTAAGCTATTAGAGCTAGTCTTTTCTAGATCTTTAGTATTACTCTTAGGTAAAGTATTAATATAAGGCCTTAAGTCTAGATTAGAACTAGTACTAGTTTCTCTTTCTAGTCTTTCTAGATTAGCTTTACTAAGTCTAGTAGTAGGACTTTCTAGATCCTTAGAAAAGGAAATAGCTTTAGTACTAGCTAGACTAGGGCTTAAAGGTCTAGTATAAGAATCTCTTTTACTAGAATTATAAGAACTAGAACTACTAGTACTAGAAATAATAAAAGGCTCTTTATCTAATAAATTAAGATTTCTACTAGAACTAGTACCTAGATTAGGACTAGAAGGTACTATAGAACTTTTATATATAGTAGAAATAACTTTACTAGAGCTAGCTCTAGAGATAGCTAGACTACTAGTACTTATACTAGAATTAGATCTAGAAATATTAGATCTTAGGCTTAGATCTAAGTTTATATCTTTATTACTAGATTCTAGCTCTTCTAGTATACTACTTATATTCTTATCTTTAGTAAGATTAAAGTAAGTAAAGTATAGACTAGTAAAGTCTCTAGATCTAGTATAGATAGACTTAGTCTTATTAGAAAATAAGTTAGACTCTCTAGCATAATTAGCCTCTACTATATTAGTAGAATGATTAGCTAAGATGTCTTCTATATTACTAGTTCTAGAAAAAGTATCTCTAGATAGTATTCTTTTATTAGGACTTAGTAAGTAAGTCTTATCCTTAATAATATATTCTTTTATAATAAAAATAATTAGATGTCTATAGAGCTTTAGACCTAATCCTTTAGAAAAGTATAAAAGAGTCTCTTTATAAAGTAGATTACTAAGCATATTACTAGTAATCCTTTTATTTTTAAGAGTAAATAGAAAAGGACTAATAATATCCTTATTATCTAGTACCTTTAGATTAAGATAGTTATATAAAGGTAGGTAGTATACTAGGTAGTATAGTACTACTCTAGTAAGTCTAATAGGTAAGAATCTAATATTACTAGAGTTTAGAGTACTAGTATTACTAGTTTTAGAATAAGAGGTATTAATACTTAAAAGATTAAGACCCTTATCTAAGTATAGATTTCTTAGGCCTCCTTCTTTAGTATTACTATATCTTAGTATAGTAAGCTCTTCTCCTCTTAAAGGGCTACTACTTAATAGATAAAAGGCTAGTAGTAGATTCTTTATAAATATATCTTTAGTTATAAGGTAGGCTTTTACTTCTTTAGTATTAAAGCTATCCTTATCTTTTCTTAGCTTTTTATAAAGACTACTATTAGAGTTATATAGTCTCTTAATAAGTAGGTTCTTACTAGTTAGATCCTTAAGATAAGGATCTATAGTAGTAATATTTTCTAAAGGTATACTATTTTCTTTAGAATCTTCTATTCTATAGATATTTAGATCTAAGATCTTATCCTCTCTAGAGATATTACTAAATACTAAAAGCTTATTATATAGTAAATCTTCTACTTTAAGTAGTAAATTACTAAATAAGTCTTTAATAGTATTTATATTTATAGAAATAGTATCTACTATAAGATTACTATTATCTATCCTAGTAATAGGCTTATAGCTACTAATTCTCTTATAGTTAAACTTTCTAATAGAGTTTCTAAGAATATATAAGGTACTAAAGTAGGTATTAGACTCTACTACTAGTAACTCTTTATAGTCTTTAGTAAAGCTTAAATAAAAGTTATCTATTATCTTTTCCTTATATATTAAATCCTTATATCCTAGAAAGTAGAGTCTAGTATTATAGATAAGCTTAGATAAGATATTTTGTATATAATCTTCTTTTCTAAATAGTATACTTCTAGAGTCTATACTTCTTAATATAAAGAAAGTAATAATAGGACTAGAAAAGTTACTATTCTCTTTAATATTATAAGTAATATCTTCTTTAAGTAAAGTATAGAAAAGTTCTAATAGTAGTCTTTTTAGAGATATAGCTATAACTTCTTTTTTATAGTAAGAAATAGATAGTTTAAATATGTTTTTAAGTATATCTAGTACTTTAAAAGTAAATATAGGATAGTAATAGTATAAAGTATAGTTATCCTTATCTATAGTAGTCCTTATAGATGTTTTCTTAGTATAAAGCTCTAATAGATATATAACTAGTAGACTAAACTCTTTAAAGTAATTTCTAGTAGTCTTTTCTTCTAAAGGAATAAAAAGACCTAAGTCCTTACTAGTATTATTATTACTACTAGTAGAATAATAAGCATTCTTAAGAATAGCTCTTATACTAGTAGGTAAGTCTTTTATAATAGAATTAAGCTCTTTTCCTAGCTCTATAGTATAGTTATAAATATAGTTATAAAACTTTACTTCTTCTATAAGCTTAAGATCTATTAGCTCTAGTAAGATACTAGTATCCTTATTTTCTAAGTATTTATTATAGCTAGTAAGTTTAATAAAAAGCTTAGTTCTTTATTACTAATATCTCTATTATTAAAATTTATAGTAGTAAGATTATTAATAGTAGAACTAAAGTCTTTTAGCTCTAAACTAAGATCTAAAGAGCTAGAACTTAGACTAGA